TGTCGGTATTCGGAGGGCTTTAGACACAGTTCGTGGAAGACTTCTTGAAAATATAGGCGAATTGCACAAATGGGTTATGTATTGATGTAGTAGAGGAAATTGGTTAACTAGACGCAAGTCATATAGTACAAAAACGCAAGAGTCTGACTTGACAAGTATCCCAGAGTTCAGTGTTAGCCTCCTTTTTTTAATAATAATAATAATAATACTTTATAAATGACATCGATGATGGTTTAAGCAACACAATATCAAACTCTGCTGACACCACCATACTAGGCAGCAGAGGTGCAACACCCTCAGAGCAACTGATTGCATGCTGACGCAAACAATCATATTATATTGGTCTGACAAGTGGCAGATAATGCTATACATTGGAAATAAAGAAAAAACAATAGACTTGATGAGCATTAGCATGCTAACAAAAGTAGATCTTCAAGTGATGATACATAAGGCAAGCAATATTCAGAGGCTGTTAGGAAGGCATTTTTTTCCCCCAGACTTAGACTATGGATCATAGACGGTGGTGGTGACCATAGCTGACTAGGGCGTCTTGACCTGACCGTCACAGTGGTGGTGGTGGTGGCAGTGGCAGTAAGAGGCCACACTGACACACTGGAAACGGTGCCGAGCATAAAGATAGTAAGACAGAAATGAATCGTACGATAAGAGAACATTACATATTTATAGTCTGGAAAGAATAGGTGTTATGATGTGTTCCAAAACGCCAAGGGATACAATAAGATTAATTATGTAATGTGTGTACATATTTTTTCTCGAAGACAACCCGCAACAATTTTAAAATTGCCGGAAAGTACTTCGCTAACAAGGTTCATAGACCTACTTTAATAATGGTAAGCCCAAGACTTCTTACCAGATGACATGCACCGTGATACAGTAGACATACGAACTTGGATTAGACGAACACTTCTCAAATCTGCTACTGAATCCATGCTTGTAACTTCGTAAACCTTTTATAAATAACCCACAATGTTTTTCGGTTTGCAAACCTTTGTAAGGTGAGCACTCTTAGAAATGGAGTACTTTATCTGAATCTGATATATAACCTTCAACAGACAAGCAGTATAGGCACTTGGACTGCACGATAGAGGTTAGGTAATTAACAGGAGAAAACGCTAAGCCATTATGACTATATAGCACTTGGAATGTGGAAAGAGGAGCTTTATTTTTACACACCAAAGGTCATATTTTTATGACCAATGGTCATAAAAATATAACCATTGGTAGGGGAATTGAGCCGCAGACCTGCAAGAAGCGAGACCGTCGTTCTACTGTCCAGGCCAAGTGGTTGCACCATAAAAATAAAGTTCCTCTTTCCTCAATAGCAGCAAAGTGAAGATAAATTAAGCTTCTGCGTGAAACGAAGTACACTGCCTTAAGCTAATGCTCTGATGTGCTCACAGACAAATACAAATATTTATTCAGGTAAAGTACATACATACAAGGTGAGATACAGACGTACTCAGTGTACTCCAGTTTCTTCCAACTGGTGGTGGTGATAGTCCTGTCGACCAGCTTACAGTGTACTGCCTCCGTAATATGAGGAATTAGTCTAGGTCAAGGGATAGCTATGAGTTGATCTAATATTCACATGTGGAATCAAATACAAATAACTCGGACATGTGAGTGAACCAGTTACAAACCTCTCGTGTCATTAGATCTTAAGTGTTGCACGCCAACACACTATAGGGTCTCCCTCTAGGGTCGTAGAGGGAATAACGGGGCAACCAATCCAAACTGACGTATTCGTTACACTAAAATGTGTTCATACATTAGAGATAATTTAAACCTTCCCGTGCATACTAAACTGACGATAAACTTGCCAGACTAAAAGTTCTCAAGTGTCACCTTGGACGGATTACAGAGTCTGAATATAATATGCAAGTTTTAACCTTATAAATCTGACTGTAAACTCTACAAAAGCTATTCAATCTGTCACGCTGCCATGCAAGACGTGCCACTTTCAGAAGAGTTAAATATTATTATTGTCAGACTTGGGGTGATGTGGGCGTCAACACACCCGGCTGTAGACCCAACACCATGTAAACTCTCGGCACAGTTAACTGCATCACTGGCTGTGAAATAAGATAATTTAGAGAACTCGCATCGTAAATGTTTCATTTACAAACAAATATTCCTGAACTGCGTATTACCCAAAATGTTGTCAAATGCCCCGAAACCTACCCAGTAACTGTCGCACAATAAAGTTTAGTACAAACTTTAAACAGGACAGTCACTAAGTTAGCGAAATGACATTAAAGGGGCAGCTAGTCCAGCACACGTTGATCCTGTGACCACTACCACCCGCACGGTGGACAGAGCCTGCTCAGTAAGGACCATTTAATCGAATCAGTATCTTGGTTTAAGACGAGCTTTGAGGTGCCGTCACTCGTCATAATACTGTTGAAAGTTGTCCCTTAAGGCACGGTGATGCCTATGGCTTGATTAGCAAGTCATGTGCGGGGTCCTGGCGAGTGGGGTGACCACGACTCTGGAGGTGGTCAGAGGTTTGCCAACTCGTTCATATAAGAGTTGCTATCCCCTTCCACGAATAGTAAATATTTCTTAATGGAAACGTGAATAAAAAAATTAAAAATGTGCCACTTACAAACGCGGGAAGATATTAGTGATTTGTGATGGCTTCAACCTTGTTTCTGACATTCACTCATTACTTTATATTCTTCTGAACCTTCACTTAAATTCAAGTTAGGTATATTTTCGTAAAAGTATGGATCCTCCCTCTTGCAACACCATCTTGGTGCAGAGCACTGTGCTCCCATGATCCGGAGGGCGGAAGTGTGGTTACTTAAACACCCTCTGGTAAACTGTCGGGGAAGACTAGGTATTTAATCCTCTATTGATAAGCCAGGTGGTTTTCTTGGGCTCAGAGCTTTGTCCCCTCTGGTTTTGCTCTTATAGTTGGAGAGAGTTGAGCAGAGATATATGTATTTAATACAAAGGTTAGAGCCATGTTATATTAAGGCAAGTTTGCTTTCACCGTGGTGCCATAATTAATGTAGTCTCCATTTACGGGGTTACAATGATATGGGTCAGTTGGCTTGTTTGAAAACTGCTTTACCTGCCTTCTATATTTCGTTGAGCACTCGTGGTATTAAAAATTGAACATTGAGTGAGCCGACTACCATTATTTGACTACTTAGGAAATTAAAAAAAAATTGTCGTGAAAAGTGGTGTTTTTATCAGTATGTGGACGCTACGACTAGTGAGAGGTCAGCCACCTGACCCGACCATGACCCGCTACACTCGCATACTGTATAGACATACTAGAGCTGTACTTGACCCATTGTATGGTGTCACTAGACTGTTTCAAGGTGTATGGCGGTGTCGGCTTGTTTAAAATCTATTTCTATCGTATTGTGCATTATCTATATTAGTAAGAGTTGGCGTTCTTGTATTACTGTTATTTGTCCCCCTCTGAGTTGTCCGTCGATAGACTCCCTTGTGTATCGGACGTCTTGGAGATCACGCGTCTTGCTGTTCTCGTACACACGTTCTGGGGAATATTTGGGACCTTTGGAGTATCCGGCGAGGCAGACGATACTAAATCTTCACGGCTTCGTGGCATCTTTTGATAATTATTTCCAGAGTATTCCCGCAGTTACTAATTCATACATAGCTACCAACATGCCTACATGTACATTTCGTATGTAGTACCTGAAGGTAGCAATTTGTTAGTGGCGGTGATCTTGATTAGTATTGCTAAGTCATTAGTTTTTACTGACCTTAATACAGTAAATAATCAAATTAAATAATTCTCTCAATTGAGTGGCCCAGGAACTATTTTAGGGTAATACAGTACAGAAGGATTTTTGCGTTTTATCTGAATTTCATGAATAAATCGGGTCTTGGGAACACGGAGGCAGCCTTGGGTCTCGAATCGGTTTAAACTAGTTTCCGGTGTACAGGCACATCCTCCACCGGAAGCATCCTTTGTAAACACCCAAAGTTTCTTGTCTCCGCCCAAATGGAGGTACACCTTTGCTATTTGAACTTAGGTACGGCAAATGAAAGTACTTGGAAAGAAAGGAGGGTACAAAGTACATGACACATTTCTTATAGTGAACAGTAGAAGTTCCATTAATATTGATGACTCGCTTTAAATTTATGAAGACCAGCAAATGCATCCGTGGACTCAACCCGTCCTCTTACAAATTACGTAGCTTTTCACTTGTATGCGCACTCAGGCTAAAAAGGTCGTAATTCAAAATGAAATTGGCTCACAGAAGTGACATTGTCCCGTTTTCTGTTTTGGGTCCTCTGACTTAAGGCTGTTAGGTTAGGAGAGGAAACTTTCAACTGTTTTCATGAATTTTTGAAACCCTACAACTTCCTGCTCTCTTAACCTGCCAGAGGACCCTTAATTTCCCGTTTTGGAAAACAAAATCCAAAACTTATTTTCAATTTTTAATTGTCAAATTACTTACTTGGCAGTAACGCAGACGAGCGAAAAGCGAAGTAATTTGTAAGAGGACGGGTTGGTGCGATTTAAGGTCACAATTACTCTAAGAAAATGTTTATATTTTCACAAACCCAAGACTTGTAGAATATTTACCTTAAATCCAATACGAGTAGAATATTACTGTAGTGTTTCCTAACACACACAGCACCACACATGGTATGGTACACAGTTGAGAGGCAGGACCAAAGAGCCAGAGCTCAACCCCTGCAAACACAATTAGGTGAGTACACAGTAAACTACCTTGTTAATGTTCTCTTATAGTGAAAGGGAACCTACACGTGACACCACCTGAGGTGACGACAAACATGACTCAAAATCAATAAGAATAATTCAAATTATAAAAACGTGCTATAAACAATTAACGTGCAGAAGGGAAAGAGACCGAGCCAAGTTGTTGTGCATAACTTGAAGTAGAGGGGGTAGAAATAGCCTAAGCTACTCTATCCCTTTTGAGATGTATTTCTTTCTTGTCTCAATAAACGTACTTGAACTTGTTGTGCAGGTGTTGAGGCAGGTGCGGCGGACCAAGTCGGTGACACAGGCCGAGGAGATCACAGATGTGGAGAGGAAGGCGCGCCAGTCCCAGGCTGACCGACCGTGAGTACTCCCTGTGAAACATAGTAAGCATATTTACGGTAAGTTTGAGTAACTTTACATCAATAACCTACAGGTATCAATTTATATTTTGGATTGCATCAATCAGAATCGTGAGGCAATACAACTTATGAATTAGAGATGTATACCTGCTACGCCATTATATACAGGATAGGACAGAACTAGTGGCCACAGAGGCCAGGCGCCACATTCACGAAACAGTTACGCAAGTACTTACGAACGTGTACATCTTTCCTCAATCGTTGACGGCTTTGGTTACATTTATTAAACAGTTTAAAAGCATGAAAATTTGCCAATCAACTGTTATAAACAGCCTCCTGGTGCTTCGGAGCTCATTAACTGTTTAATAATTGTAAACAAAGCCGCCAAAGATTGAGAAAAGATGTAAAAGAGTAAGTGCTTGCGTAACTGCTTCGTGAATCTGGCCCCAGGAACACTCCCGAACTGAGTACCTGGAATTAATAAATTAATGTCAAAGAAATGGTTTGTTGGAAAAGCATTTTACATCCTGTTGAAATCAGTTCCAGTGAAGTATAGTAAGGCACCTTTCCAGTGTGTGTCGATCTGTCCAGGCCTCTAACCTAGGTCCATTTGACTGCGAGGTGACTGCTGTTCACTGAATGAGAGAAAATGTGCAGAAGAGATTCTGTATCTGGCAGCTGCACCAGGCTGGTTATCGATGATCATTACGATGCTCTTGTTTCTTAGTTTTTTAGCATATCTAGCTAATTGTAATGCAGCTTAATTCGGGTAGTCTTTAAAAAATGATTTTACGATATCAAAGCTGCGAGACCCCAAAGTAGCATTTTTAATTGTTTGTGTACTTACTCTTTTTTTTTTTTTTTAATTTAATTATACAATAGAATTAGATGTATATAATAGTCTAAACTACGTTAGGTATAAATGCTTCATCAATGTACAGTATTAAAAAATTACAGCCAACAGAAACGAAGTGACTGAGCACTAAGGACGTGCAGTCGGGTAAAATATTTGCACAAATGTTTTAAAGTCTATACAAAACTTTATTTTCAATATTTTGCACGGAAAGTTACGAAAGTATTTATAAACATTAAAACGTATAAAACAGTTTTCCACCCTTCTATGCCACCATAGAATGCAACACGTAAATATATATCGGTGCCGTGACGTATTAAACAAGCAAGACTGCGCTGCGTAGGATGCTGCAGCTGAGAGCAAGATGGCCATGGCGGCAGTCATTTTTTTTTCCTTGCCTCTTTTCCTTCCTTTCCTTTTTTTTCCTTCTTTTTTGACTGGAGTGGCGGCATTAGTCAAAGTTTTCTAAAGATTTATTAATAGTTATTAAAGATTCAATTTATTTTATGCCCGAAGATGAGTAATATAATAAATGTTCACAGAAGCTATAAGCTACTTGTTTACCTAGTTGATCAGCGGGTCGGGACGTGGGCAAGTCACGCAGGCGGGAGCGCCTCGGGGACGCTCCCGCCGCCACCATCCTCATGAAGTGCCAATATAATAGCAACTGTTGAACCAAACGTACAAAAGTGCACTGTTGGCTCCCCCCAAAAAAGTTTTTGCATAACGGTACTGAATTAGTGAAAAGGTTACGAAAATATTAACAAGGTTAATAGATATTATTAATATCTAAACTATTGGGACCGACTAAAGAGCCTAAATCTGTACTCCCTTGAGCGCAGGCGGGAGAGATGCATAATAATTTACACGTGGAAAATATTAGAGGGGCTGGTCCCAAACCTGCACACAGAAATAACATCACACGAGACCAGAAGACATGGCAGGATGTGCAGAATACCCCCGTTGAAAAGCAGAGGTGCAACAGGTACTCAGAGAGAGAACTCTATCAACATCAGAGGCCCGAGACTGTTCAACACGCTTCCGCTACACATAAGGGGCATAACTGGCAAACCCCTCAGTGTTCAAGATTCAGTGTTCACCTCCAAAGGATACCTGATCAACCAGGCGTCAGACCAACTCATACGTCAGGCTGCGAGCAGCCGCGTCCAACAGCCTGTTTGATCAGCCCAGCAACCAGGAGGCCTGGTCGACGACCGGGCCGCGGGGACTCTAATCCCCGGAAGCACCTCAAGGTAACCAAGGGGCCAGATTCACGAAGGTACAGACTTGTCCACGAAGTTCTAGGCCAAGGAATGTTAAGGTTTCTTTTGGAGAGGGTCTTGGTATTATCGTGCCCTTGACAAAAGTAATGGTACCAAACGTGAACACCGACTATAACAATCCATTTTTGTACGAGCGACCGAAAATTGTTGCTATAAATATATCACTTTAATAGGATGCTGAGCGATTCCAGAGAACAGTACAGGAAAGACTGTTATTGTAAAGTAAACTTCCAGAGAACAGTACAGGAAAGACTGTTATTGTAAAGTAAACTTCCAGAGAACAGTACAGGAAAGACTGTTATTGTAAAGTAAACTTCCAGAGAACAGTACAGGAAAGACTGTTATTGTAAAGTAAACTTCGTGGCATTTCTTTTTCGCTTGTTTTAAATTTGGTGGTTGGAAAGGGACTCAAGTGGTTTAAACTCCTAAACTCTTTAAATTCTTAAGAGGCCTAAACTTCCTCACCACTCGCACTTTCACAAAGTGTCTTGAAGCACTGAGTGCTTCTCCTTAGTAGGAGCTTTATGATGGTGTATTCCGCGTTCTGGCATAAGAAGCGCCCCGCCCGCCCGGTGCACGGCTAGCCTCCCATCCAGTGGGCAGCGGCAGGGAGGTTACACTCGCCCACATTTACTACCTATATTTAACTAACGGGATATTTGGCAAAAATTTCCGGTAATGTAAATATTGTATTAAAAATTAGTCATTTCTTGAAGATTTGTTAATTGTCTGAATTAACTTATTTTTCACGCTCCGTCAGTAACGGGTGTGGATGATCCATAGTGGCAACAAGAGATGGAATCCACGTGGAATGAACTCTATAATCAGTAATAATTTTATATTTGGCTAGTTTCAGACATGGGCATATTACAAGTGGATTAAAGAATTGAGCGCAATTAAGGATAATAATCTCTTAAAATTAACGTATCAAGTTTAGAAATTTGTACCCATTTGAGTGCAAGAAACAAGGCACATAGTCTAGTCTGAAGGGTATGGGCCCAGTTGTTTATAATGACTCCAACCCAAAAATAGGCCGCCACCCATCATCAGGACAACTGCACTTCCAGTTGCACCCGTGGAGCGGTGCAGGGAACGATCTGTGTATTTACTTTGAGACTTCGTATACAAACCCGGCAGGAATATGACGGTCACAAAGGTGCAGCGGTTGAAGGGCTACAATCAGAGGCTCAAGATTAAGATAACTACGATAACTCGAGTGATGTCAGATATGTGAACCATGCTTATAACCTCAGTTATTTAGTGTTTAACAGGGCGAAGGCACAAAATAAGGGGCAAAGGGGGGGGGGGCGATAGCAGGCAGACATAGGCTGCCTCTCCCCCGAACTGTAGACCTGCTTAATATTGAATGAGAGAAGCTGCAGTCTTGTGTGAGACACTTGCCCGACCTGATCATTGTGGGTGTATGGTCTTCCTCGGTAAAGTGTCGCTCGTAACTTCATATAAAAATGGGTGGATACCTACCATGGTGTATATGAATAGTCGTATATACATATATTACACGCATATTCAGGCATGTAATAGTTGCATGATGAGCCTAATCTTGGCACTGGTTGCTAGGTGGACCACCTGCATGTCATCTTTGGTTTATCTGATAAAGCCAAATTACATTCATTCTGTGATATGGCACTTGCTCAGCTCAAGGCGCTGGACGAGGTAGTACTAGTCTGACTTGTTGGCTTCATGTACTAGGTAGGATGTAGGCCTCTTGGCAGCCACGAAGTCGCCAAGACTGTCGCAAGGACCAAAATGAGGTATAAAAGAGGCCACTAGTGTTAGCGGCTCTCGGGTAAATATATTCACGGGCCGAACACAAACCATACGCTGCCGCCTCTGGCGATTTGATCCCGTAGACTGTTGCGGTCCCATACCCTCCCGCCACGGTACAAAAGAATATTTATTTATTTATATAAAAGAAGGTACATTGGGGGTTAAGAGCACATAGTAATGATGATTTTTACATTCTTGTAAAGCCACTAGCACGCATAGCGTTTCGGGCAATATGATAATAAGTACAGAATGCCTGTTGGGCCATACGCAGCTCTTGTTTATAGTATATGGGTCTGCTATATATCCTATATCGTCTTTATCTCTTCCCTTTGTAGCTACAAGCTACAGTGTGGGACAGAAAACAGGATAGATGCTCTTCACCCATAGGGTTATAAACCCATGAAACCCCATAACAGCCGAAACCGTGATTGCTTAAGTTCAAAATCCAATGAGAAAAAAGTGGAAAAAGTGCCTTTGACAAGCCGCTGACTTAGTGTCCCCGTTGAAGCCACTGGAGAGATGGTGCTCTCGGATAAATTTATATCCAAACTTTCGTCGTTCTTGGTAACAATGTGATGCATGACAAATTTTCCTGTGCAATGATTTTTGCTCGACTTGTCTGCCTGCAAAATAACTAACATGATTAGTTAAGGTGTCCCCCGAGGATCAACAAATGTGTAACTAAGATATAATCTAGATTGACAACATTTTTACACGTCTAGTGAATCTTATTACGGTATACCCAACCTGGGAAGAATTCGAAATTAATTTCGAATATTACCCAGGTCGGACAACATATATGAAAATTTGATATTACTTATTTTTTTTTAATTGTGCTTTGAAAGTTAAACTTTGTAGTGGCATGTATGAAGGTGGTGGAGCCTGACTGTGAAGGCCTGGTGGAGGGGGGAGCAGGAATCCTGATACATGCAAGTAGGTTAGTGAGGAGTGCGGGTCCCGCCAAACTGCACCACAGCTACCTGTGCTGCTCAGCCACATGCTGGAGAAACATTTATCTTCCTCAGTATACACGACCGCAAAGTTATTAATGCACTAGAATATATCTAAGAGTAAATG